ATAAATGTGAAAACATCCTTCTAGAGTCAAACTCTGCACAGACAGCATTCAAACAGCACACTGATCTCTGACTGGAGGGGACTTCCAGGAAGTACTCACATCATCCCTCTGTAGTTTACAGAGTATCTCATCTTCATCCTCCTTTGACTCTTTCCTCTCTTTCTTCAGCAGTTTACACACAGGAGAGCTGGTGGAGTCATGCAGGTCTGAAGCACCACGCCAGCCTGAACATAGAGGCGGGTTGATTGTGCACCCTTAATGCATCTGTAGTGTGCGTGCTTAAATTCCACTAGAAAATAGAGGTTGTGAACCTGTTTTGCGTACGGTGTCAGCAGGACCCTGTTCAAAGATAGAGTGTGACTGGATGGTCTGAGGCCTCTCTCTCCTCCTCCCTCTGTTCTCTCTCCTCCTCTCATCCCTCTCTCGCCTCTCCTTTTTTGGAGCCACGCGGACTTCTTCCTTTAATCTGGGGAAGAATCGGCCAGAATGTTCATAATCACTAAGAATGACATACTGACAGCACGTTATATGCTATGCTTAAAACTTTATGTATGTTTACTCACTCATCTTTGCTTTTCCTCACAGCATGGACATTTGGCTCAAAGGTTTTCTTTGGGGAAGAAAAAGAGAACGGAGATAAATACAAAATAATGTTAATACCAAGTATTTATTCGTAAGCGGTAACTTGATAATAATTGTGTAATAGCGTATACCTTATATAGTGTGAAACCATAACATTATCTAAGACAGTTATTGTACCGTAAAAATCTCATACCATTCCAACCCTACAAATACATTGATATATTTAATATGCTATGAATTCTTTTCTAGCTGCCAGACTCAATATTTCAGGACTCTAATCTTTATTTTGCTAGTGATGATACTGATGAGCAGTAAAATGAGCAGCAACAAATGTTTTAATTGTGACGGTCCTATTAGCCCCTGCATTAACGCTAGAGTTGCACTGATTTATGTGCCCAACATTGGTATCTATGAGGAAATAAGATGGCATTCACCTACTGTATACCAGTGACCGATGTTTATTTGTTGTGTTGCATCAGTTTTACACTGGCTAAATGTTGTGTTGGTTATTTCCAAGTTGGATATTGGAGAAATAATCTCCATTTCCATCACTAGCACAAACTGCATGCAAACACCTACTGATGTGCTCAATGCAGCAGCACAGACACTGAGCGGCTGTTCAGCTCTGTGTGTCACATCTTGGAACAGAAGAGAAATAGACTGAGCTGCACAATTAATCGGAATATTATCCAAATTGCATTATGGCTAAGTCAAATTGTAAGAGGTGCAATTTTTTTGATAAAGGTAACATGTGTGACAAACAGCATTAATAATTAAGTACTGTAGTGCTGAAGAGATGCGCTGGTCTACAAACATGTTTGTTTGTTTGTTACAAACACCCCTTTGCAAAGTTTATTTGCATGCCACTTGTCTAAACAAGGTTACAAAGTGCTTCGTCACATCAATTTCAAATGATTCCCACCCTATTTATGAATCGCTAATCACAATATCTGTCAAAGCAATTGCAATATGATGTTTTTAACAAAATGCCCTAAAATAGACTGAGCTGCAACAAGGCAGAGATACTTATCTTTGTAGATAGATAGGCACAAAAGTGAAAATAAATAACAACGAAAAACACTCACTATAGGCCAAATTGTTATTTTAAACATCGGTATCCTAATCCAGGATTTCTTAATCAGTGCATCCCTAATTAAGGCAGCCATTAAAACCAAATAACAGTTTTTTACTGAGACCCTGGAGCTGACCCCTGACCTCCCTGTGAAGGAAGGGAAGGTGTTTTCTCACAGTGGAGAAAGTTATACATTATTTTCTGAATCCAGCAAGAAAGAATAAAACTATTATGGCCTTATTTGTCTTCAGTATTTTATTATTATTGCATTCATGCATTAATTGTGCTTTAGAAACATCATAAACAAGTTTATTATTATTATTCCTTGACACTTAGGTGTTGCAATGTATTGTTTTGTGTGTAAAATGCCCCTAAAATGTCAGTATATGGTGATATGTAAGTTATGTTAAGTTAGACAAAAAGGCAACATGAATGTAACTGTGGAACAGACAACAACTATATTACTGGGGTTGTTCAAATAACTACTCTTGGGCAGCAAGGGAGCTTTCAAAGTTAGGTTTACAATATACAGTGAGCCAGTTCAAAACTGTCCTTAACTTAAAATGAATTTAATACTGAAAATGATTGGTGCTTGAATCTCATGTAGTCATATTCAAACGTCCAGCCCTTTGTTGTGTCATTCATTACCTTTGGTTTTTTGAGGGCTCCCCCCAGTGTCAGATCCCTGGTTCTGAGGGACGTCAGTCTTCCAGGTGCAGTGGGGGAGGACAGACTAGTCCTGAGGCGGCCTGGGAGTCCACTGCCCGCGGTGAAACTCAGCCCCGCCCCGCTGCTGAGGCCGGAGCAGCCGGGAACACTGGCTGTGTCTCCGGAGTCGGTCATTGTGTGATATCAGGTCACTCTTGTACTATTTTACTTTGCAAGTAGCTCTAGGTGTTTCATATGACTAAACAAACAATGTGTATTGTGCACATACCGGACAACGTTACAGTCTGGGACTTTGTAGGAAGTAACGTAAAGACGTTACAAAAGTAACGTGTCTGTATTCCTTACACGGCTCTCGTCACTGTCCCTGCCCTTCAAAAATCGCTCTGGCCGTTTCTCTTTCTTTCTGCCCAGCAAATATATCCTGCAAACAGATCATTCAGGTTGGAAACCGCGGTGTACACGCAATCTAAGCTAAGCGCAACTTAACAGCAGCTTTTTACCCTCCATTTTGTTCCCACTCGCTAACGTTATATCAAATAGACTGCGCCAAAATGCAAAACTGTACACTCAAGACAGAAATGCTCCAAGCCGTTATATCACATGTTATACACGGTGTTGTTGCATTGCACGGTGTCCTTCCTGAAGGCTGCAAACAAAAAAACATAATCTTTGACAAATCGTCTTGTCGTAACACAGCGGAGTTTCCTGGCGATGGTTGTAGAAAACAAACAGCACTGAGTAAAAATGTTAAAGACCTCCAAACAGTGACATTTTCTCCAGCAGTTCCGTTTGGGCGCCTGTTGTTTTAGTCCAGTTTAAATGGATCTAATTTCCTTCCTACTAAGCCGCTATTGTTGTTCTTACACCGTACTACACAGGTGGAGCCACAAGATGGCGGCGTTTGTCTGGTGTGTGTGTGTGTGTGTGTGTGTGTGTGTCTCGTGAGGAGGCGGTGGAAGAAATGTTCAGCTCTTGTACTTAGAAGGACGTTGGTGGAACTGACCTCAGTACTTTTACTCAAGCACTGTACTTAAGTAGTTGTAAAGTACTTGAATATTTCTATTACTCTATGCTACTTCGTAGGCCTACTTAAGCTCCACTACATTTCAGGGGGGAATAGTCTGCTGTTTACACCACTACAATAATGAGTTAGGCTACTTTTTTTTTTCAGAAAGTGTGTGGTATTAGTAAGATTTTATATAATACATTGTTATAGATGCACTACTACTTTACCTATGTAAAAGACAATAGGCTACATTGGTTTTTCAGAGTGTGGTTATTTAAGAAATCAAACTATAGAGATTTTAAAGTCATCCAATGTATATTACTGCATTGGATGCTTTTAAATATTATATTATTAAAAAATATATATTGTATATATATAAAAATGTGGTGTGACCAAATGGCAACCTCTGTGGTTGTCAAATGAAGCCAACATGGAAGTGCTGACAATTGCAGTTCCTCCAATGGCCACTCGAGGCTGGCTACAGAAGTGTCTCAATCTCCATAAGCCCCATATTAATATGTAATTCTAACTAATCTGACTTCTAAATTCTAATATATTCATTTAGATCAATCTTTTAAGTTGCAAAAAATGTTTTGAGTTGTGTTGATCTAATAATGCAGGACTGCACACCATCATTCAGCTC